ATCTTAACAGGACCTATCTGCAAACAAGTTGTAGAATTTTTCAAACCCATCAGTGGGCTGTGCACCCACCACAGGTTAAGAGCTCATCCTCCACGCAGAATGTTGAGGTGGTTATGAAATGAATAAAAATGAAGCGATTTTATACGTGTTGTATTCTCAATAATTTAATCCACACATTTTTATTTGTTACATTTATTTGCACTGTATATCTTAATACACCATAGACTCCAATGTTAAATTTCAATCATCACTGTAAACGTATACCTGTAACAATCTAAACAATCTAAATCAAGATGCACTTTGTTACAAATGTCAGGCATAGGATACATTTTAAGCTGTTGAATGAGGCCCTTGAGCAGAGCCTTGCTCGACGATGCTTTAGAATTTGGATGCCGAGAGGCTGAGCATCCACTTGGGAACCTTTATGAAGCTGGGGATAACGCAGGACATCCAGGCTAGCCCTGGGACCTGTGTCACCAGAAACTTGAGTGACGTGTAGCTAACCGGCATGCTGCCTGCAACACAACATTCACATTAATAGTAAAACAAAACGAGAACAGCATCAGGCGAGGACCCTTTTCGTCAATGTTCCCAAAAAAACTGAATGGTGTCGCAGCAGCCATCGAAGTCCCTGGGTTTCAGCCACTCCACGGAAATAATTTACATTTGTAAGGCGCATTTGATCCGTAGATCCCAATGTGCCATTGAGAGCAGTACATAAACAGAACAAGGGAATGAAGCGCAGTTTTAAAGAGATGAGTTTTCAAGACAGACAAATATAGCCACCGATTCAGTCTTATTAAGCTCACTTGCCAGCGTACGTTATGAAAATGTACCAGTAGAAAAAGGTGCGCATTTTATATTGCTCCTGTGCTGCTACCCCATGAATGCTGCTCCTGGTAAAGGTGTTTAGATTACATATATATGTATATTTGCACGTCATCTCTTCTAAGGTGTTTTTCTGTCTCGGTGCAGCTGATTTTCCAGTCTGGTCAGATGTTCCCAATGTACGGATATTTCACGTCAAATACCTCGTTGGATTATGGTTTTCACTCTGCATAAAGCGCCAGACTTTGCGCTTTTTTGTCAAATAATTGTTTGTGTTCAACTTTATATTAGAGGTCATGAGACCCATTAAATGTGACAAAAATAATGGCCTCATGAACGAAAAATATGACAAACATAAATTATCTCTATAACCAGCAGAGGGCACTGGTGAATAAGTAGCGCGGATAACTTGTACGCGAGAGGGTAGCTTGTCCTCAGGATGGGATGACACGACACCTGACCCTCGCCAGACTAAATTATATAAACTTTAAATTTACCAGGTAACGCCCACTGAGTTGTACAGCTCTTTTCAGAAGCGACCTGGCCACAAATGATAGTTCAACGAAGTGGCTTATGTGAAAATATATAGCAGGCAAATACTCTAAACCAGTGGTTCTTAACCTGGGTTCGATCGAACCCCAGGGGTTCGGTGAGTCGATCTCAGGGGTTCGGCAGAGCCCCCGCCACGGAGGTCCGGACACACTTGAATTATTGTGTAAATTTGTGATGACACACACGGCCCGCTTGGCCATCACTGGCTGCAGATGATCATGCTACACTGCTTGGCCAATCAGCGCTGCGGGGAATTTAGTGCGTACTCAGTAGTCAACGTGTGACTGTTGTTGTCGTACGTCGTGTGATTTCTTTAATATTTTATCCATACTAACTATGTCGGGCAAAAGAAGAAAGTGGTCGGACGAATATGTACAACATGGATTCTCATGTATCACGGAACGTGATGGGAGTGAGCGTCCTATCTGCATGATTTGCAACGCCAAGTTGAGCAACTCTAGTCTTGCACCGGCAAAACTAAAGGAACACTTCTTGAAGCTGCATGGAGACGGGGAATACAAGAACACAACACTTGCTGAATTCAGGGTGAAGAGAGCCAGATTCGATGAAAGGGCCACTCTGCCTGCTCTTGGATTTGTACCTGTTAACAAACCGATCCTGACAGCATCGTACGAAGTTGCTTACCTGATCGCAAAGCAGGGCAAGCCACACACCATTGGTGAAACACTTGTGAAACCAGCTGCATTAAAGATGGCGAATCTGATACTCGGAACAGCGGCTGAAGGTAAATTATCCCAAATTCCCCTTTCAAATGACACCGTCAGTGACAGAATAGAAGACATGAATAAAGACATCTTGGCTCAAGTAGTCGCGGATCTGATTTCAAGCCCGGCAAAATTCAGCCTTCAACTCGACGAAACCACAGACGTTTCTGATCTAAGCCAGCTTGCTGTTTTTGTACGCTATGTGAAAGACGACATGATAAAAGAAGAGTTTTTATTTTGTAAGCCTCTTACAACAACAACGAAGGCAGCCGATGTGAAGAAGCTTGTGGATGACTTCTTCAGAGACAACAATCTTTCATGGGATATGGTTTCTGCAGTTTGTACGGACGGAGCTCCAGTCATGCTGGGAAGAAAGTCTGGTTTTGGTGCGCTAGTAAAGGCCGATGCACCACACATCATTGTGACGCATTGTATTCTGCACAGGCATGCGTTGGCAACAAAAACCTTACCTCCAAAAATGGCAGAAGTATTAAAAACTGTGGTGGAATGTGTGAACTATGTGCGAAAAAGTGCTCTGAGGCACCGCATCTTCAGTGAGCTGTGTAAAGAAATGGGCTCTGAATTTGAGGTACTTCTGCTCCATTCTAATATTCGGTGGTTATCCCGGGGACAGGTGCTGAATCGTGTTTTTGCCATGCGTGTGGAATTAGCCCTGTTTTTGCAAGAGCACCAACACTGCCATGCAGATTGCTTCAAAAATCCTGAGTTTATTCTCATTTTAGCGTACATGGCTGATATATTCGCAGCTCTCAATCATCTCAATCAGCAGATGCAGGGTGGTGGAGTCAATATCATGGAAGCGGAAGAACACCTGAAGGCTTTTCAAAAAAAGCTACCGTTATGGAAACGACGAACAGAGAACAATAACTTCGCAAACTTCCCGCTTCTGGACGACTGTGCAAGTAAGATCGAAGATGTGTCTGGAATCGGAGATATTTCTGTATCCACGGAACTGAAGCAAACAATTGCCACGCACTTAGATGAGCTTGCAAAGTCTCTCGACGGATATTTCCCTACAAGAGAGTCATATCCAGCATGGGTGAGACAGCCGTTCACGTTTGCTGTTGAAACAGCAGATGTCAATGATGAATTCCTCGACGAAATCATTGAAATTCAGCAGAGCCAGGTTCAACAGCAACTCTTCAGAACAACAACGCTCTCAACGTTTTGGTGTCGACAAATGAACAAGTATCCAGTTATTGCTAAGAAAGCCCTGGATTTTTTTATACCATTTGTTACAACATATCTTTGTGAGCAATCCTTTTCGAGGATGCTGGACATAAAAACGAAGAAAAGGAACAGACTTTGCTGTGAAAATGACATGAGAGTGGCACTTGCCAAGGTGAAGCCACGCATATCTGAACTGATCTCTCAAAGGCAACAGCAGAAGTCACATTGATTTCCAGGTATGTAATTTGTTGTGAGTTTATGCATTGTGTTGGTTTTATTCTTTGAACAAGGTAATGTTCATGCACGGCTCATTTTGTGTACCAGTAAAAAACATATCTATGTCTTGAATTTGAAAAAAATCACATTTTATTTTTCACTAAAGAGGGGTTCGGTGAATGCGCATATGAAACTGGTGGGGTTCGGTACCTCCAACAAGGTTAAGAACCACTGCTCTAAACGCTTCAAACTAGTTCGAAGCTTTCGTGACTGCAGGAATTACTCTTTGGTTCCTTCGGTAAAGTCACGTAGAAAATCAAATCAAATAGAATACGACGTTTCGAATGCAACACAAGCAACCGTCATCAGGTAAGAATGAATGAGAAAAAACATAGTAAACAATGTTAACCGACTCTCTGTGTGGCATTACATTACACTTCCTAATTTTACTAAAATTTTGCTTTCTCAAACTTCCGATTTTCTTACTCTAAATATTGCCGTGCTGCTTGTTTATAGTCCATTGTCTCTCCTCCGGCCACTATCGTCCGGAATTCCACTCAACTATTCTTTGGAGGAGCGTGGTCTGCCTCCGGCCACTGTGGTCCAGAATTCCACACAACTCTCTCATTGTCCTCTGCCCCAATCCCTCCCCCCCTCTCTCTATTTAAAGCCTCGACACAGTGGCGCTGTCTTTCTTTTTGTCATTTGGAGGAGCGTGGTCAGCCAGGTAGAGTGTTGGCTGTGATGTTGTTCAGCTCTCTGTGTTGTGTTGCATTGTGTTTCTAAGTTTACGATGTTTTTTTCTCATTCATTCTTACCTGATGACGGTTGCTTGTGTTGAAATCGAAACGTCGTATTCTATTATTTTATTTTCTACGTGACTTTACCAAAAGAACCAAAGAGCAACTCTAAACACTTGTTTCTAAATGTGGAGGAAAAACTGGAGGACCCGGAGAAAAATCCACGTGACCACGGGGAAACACACAAACTTCAAATATACAAGCGTCAAGGTCAGGATCGAACCCATGACCTGTATACCAGGAAAAGTAGTTAACATCTCGTAACCGTGGCGCCCTGAGATACCTCTCAACTGGCGCCACGAGCCAGGTACCACTCGCCAAACACTGGATAAATGTCAAGAGAGAATTTCCCATCTCGTTTGGGTGACTTATCTGTGAAATAGCCGTGGACAACAGGTACAGGATAATAGGGTTGCAGATAACAATGAGCTCAATTGTGCAGTATTTTACAGTAATTATAATTCCATCGAGATTAGCCCATCTGGATCAAATTAGACCCACTGAATTATGGATAGGAACTGGTTTACATTTCGGGTCACAATCGAAAGCAGGTGATGCGTTTCAATTGGAGCTGAACTGCACCCCTAGAAAATTAGATTCAGCAACTGCTTGGCTCCTCGAGATGTAGCTTGGGTTTGAAAATTAGTGTGAAGGTTCCATTAACTATGACGAATGATGCCCCACTTACCATCCACATCCTTGAAGCCATACTCGGAGGCAAGGTCAGCTGTCATTACCACTCGGCCGGACTTCTTCATGATGTTTTTGTCTGTTAAACAAAAATCGTGCATATTCATTGTTCCTGTAACACTTGCACAACATGCACGCGTGTCCTCGGAAATGTTCGTTTTGAAATAACGATAATTCAAGCTGCACATACGACATCACAGGAATGACGTCAGGATGGGAGGCACATGGTTCTTTTTAGCGCTGGTTTTGTAGCACTAGTTTTCATCTCCAGGTGTCGGGCAACACGTTTATAAAGTTTTGCAGTTTCTGTTGAGTAACACTTTATATTACAGTTTTGCTCATATTGAATCTTCTTTACGGAGTCGTAATCATGAAAAACTAATGCAACGGAATATTAGCTCTGTTCAACAATCTACTAGAACTATACGTTAACCATTAAAATGAAATTTAAGGCAGTCCTCAACTTACAAACACTCGCACTTACGAACCAGCTTCCTTGATTTTTTTTACATCGACTTAAAACTGAACCCGCACTTGCAAACTGAACTGCGGAACTATTTTGTTCAGTGGAGAGATCCTCCGCGAGATGTAATGAGTCAGCCTCGCGCTGGGAGTAAGTGAGAAAGTGAGTGTGTGTGTGTGCACGCGCAGATGTGTGAAAATGAGAGTATGCGTGTGTGTGTGTGCGCATGCTCCTGTGTGTGTGTGCAATTGCGGTGACTCATTGTGCCCCTTCTGACAAGCCAGCATCAGGGCTCAAGGTAAGTGAAAATTAAACATATTGTTTTTCTATTTGTTACTTTATTGTTTTATTTAGTATAAAGTAATTATTACAGTATTCCATGCAAATGTACAATATTTCTTATTTATGAGTTTAACAATGCGTCCCTTTTTTGTTGAACCATAACACATTTTATAACACTGCGTTTAAATGCAGTACATTGTTGTGTTCCGACTTACGAATCCTTCGACTTTCAAACGGGTCTCATGAACGGAGCCCGTTCGTAAGTCAATGGACTGCCCATATCACATTTCAGGTTCCTGCTTGACATTGTGCCATCTCCAGTCATCCAGTAGCATACATGCCACTTGATTGATGTTCCCAAATTATCCATATAGAAGTTAGATTAAAATCAAGAGTTCACACTAATGATAATCCATATTCTTTGGTTTTTTCGGTAAAGTCACGTAGGTAGAAAAAATATATAATAGATCACGACGTTTCGATCGCAACAACAAGCGGCCGTCTTCAGGTGAAAGAATCAGACTGCTGTGGACGAGGCATTATATTGACCCGAGAGGGGGGGAGGGAGGGGGGGATTGCCACATCGGGCAAGAGGGTGGGGCCAGCGATTGTGAGGAACTTGTGAGCATGAGAGTGCAATCCAAAGGACCTGTGAGCATGAGAGTGCAATCCAAGAGATCGGCTATAGGGGGGAGAGAGAAGGGGGGAGAGAGATCTAAAAGAGAGGCATGGAGAAAGGGAGACAGAGAGTCGGAAATAACAGCTGACATAGGCAGGTAGGATGGAAACATCACAGTCAGTAAAGACTTTACCTGGTTAATAACGTCCTGCCAATGATTGCTCAGTTTGTACCATCTTCTCGGTTGAAGTTGTGTCTGTGTTGATATATCTGGATGATGTCATGAACAAATCTCTGAAGGTAGCCGGTGGGTTTGCAGAGTACCTTCGTCTTGGAAAAATCAATTTCGTGTGAGCCCACAGCGTTAAAACAATGATCAGCAACGGCAGAGGTATTGGTTTTACCGTGTTTCAGATCCGCCTTGTGTTCATGAACGCGGTCCGAGACATGCCATTTCCTTTCCCCAATGTAATTGCTGCCGCAACCACAACTCAGATTGCATGTCAGGAATCACATCCTTTACAGATGGTATCAAATCACAAATTTTGTGTACTGTCTTGAAACGAACCTGGATCTTGTGTTTGTTTAAGATTTTGGAAATCTTTTTGGTAAACCCTGCTATGTATGGTAAAGTGATGGTTTTAGGGTTGGATCCTCAGAAGGTTGTCTCCCCATGGCTGGGGAGATTTATGGTCAGAGTATCCGTTCATCCTGAGGGCTTGGTGTACGTGCTCCAACTCACTGGCTAGGTGGTTTCATTTTTTCATAGTTTTCATAGTTTCATTTATTTGGTATAGCCCTTTGAGCCATTCGGCTCTTGAATCGGGTGCAAGCGCAACAAACAAAAAAAACAAAAACATGAACAAGAAAACATCTTAAAGTGACTTTGTGCATGTGCAAACAGAAAATCCAGGAAAAAAATCAAAATATTCCTGAAATAGCATAGCACACCAACGCTGTGTGCAAAAAATCCCAGTGGGATGCAAGTCAAACTGCAGTAATTCATATTCTTGGTTCTTTCGGTAAAGTCACGTTGAAGGGAAACAATAAAATAATAAAATATATTAAAGAAATAAATTCTCACGACGTTTCCACTGTAACACAAACAGTCATCATCAGGTGTGAAAACCAATGGCAAGAAACATTTGAAAGAAGTGGCGGTTCACATTTATTTATTTATTTTAAGCCATTAGCGCCACGGACAGCGATTTGGCAGTTTGTTTATAAGGACGAGTCCATCTATGTTCGGAAAAGAGGAGGGGGGAGACGAAAAATTAATGTATGCTGTCTGAAAGCCACCGTAAGCGTGAACAATCAATTAGGACCCGAAATGGTTTATCAAATCCTTCCAGTGATTGCTAAGCCAGAATCCATCTTCTCGGTTGAAATTGTCTCTGTGTTTGTATATGTGGATAGCCTCATGAACGAATCTCTCATGGTAGCCCGATGGCTTGCAAAGAACCTCTGTCTTGGAGAAGTCAATGTCATGTGAGCCTACTGAATTATAACAGTGATCTGCCACGGCCGAGGTGTTGGTCCTACCGTGTTTAAGGTCTGCTTTGTGTTCACGAATGCGGTCTGAGACATGGCGTTTGGTTTCTCCAATGTAACTACTACCACAGAGGCAACTTAGTTTGTAGACATCAGGGTACTGTATGTCCGGAATCACATCTTTTACAGATGGAACCAGATCACGGATTTTATGTAATGTGTTGAAACGGACCTGGATCTTGTGTTTAGTCAAGATTTTGGAGATCTTTTTTGTGATCCCCGCAATGTAGGGTAAAGTGATAGTTTTGAAAGGCTCCTCAAGAGGGTCCTTCTTCATGGTTTGAGTGATAGCTTTGCGGATTGTATAGTCGGAGTAACCACTAGCCTTAAGAGCTTGGTGTACGTGCTTGATGATGACTGTGGTACAGTCGAAACGTCGTGAGAATTTTATTGTTTTATATATATTTTATTATTTTATTGTTTCCCTTCAACGTGACTTTACCAAAAGAACCAAGAATAAGAAAACTTAGATTAAGGCCATCAGTCTAACTCCGTACTACAATAAACAAAAACATGGCCAAACCAAAAAACTTTTAGAAATCACCAAAATAAATCCATAAATGCAATGTAACAGTGATCATAGGAACTGTGACCGAATTTTTAACAATAAACTACATAAATAACATGTAACACTAAACCCTAGAGCCACAGCTGGCTGCATGAGTCACTCAACAAACAACAGGAGCATCAGTCGGAGTATCACATTTTTCAATGCACCTTTAAGATCAGCACACTAAATCAAAATACAGATAATACTTTGCAGCAGTCATCTGGAGCGAAACATTTTATTTTATTTTAGGCCACTGAATAGCAGTGGCAGCTGGTCGGAGATGCAACGGGCCCTATGGTGTAGTGTTTTGATGAGGGAATTCTTCTGGGTGAGATGGTGGTGGGAGTCAGGCTTTAGATAGGCATCCGTGTGGGTGGCTTTCCTGTAGACAATGTCCCAACGAGCCATCAGTTCTCTTCTAGATCAAAACATCCAGGAATGGTAGCTTGTCATCCTTTTCCACTTCCATGGTGAATTTGATAGACGGGTGTATGGAATTGATGTGGTTGAGAAATTGGTTCAGTGCTGGCAGGCTATGTGGCTAGATGAAGAACATGTCATCTACGTATCTCTTCCACAAGGAAGGATGTAGGGTGGATGTCAGGATGGAATCTGTCTCAAATTTCTCCATGAAAACATTCGCTACCACTGGCGATAAGGGAGAACCCATTTTGTTGTTTGTAGAATGTACCATTCCAGATGAAAAAAGTGTTAGAAAGGCAGTGCCTCACCAAACTTGGTACATCAGCATTCAATCCTTGTTGGACCAAGTCTTCAATGATTGCAATGGTGGCAGGTATAGGTACCTTGGTGAATAGGGAGACTACATCGAAACTGGCAAGCAAATCATTTGAGAGACAGTGAGATGTCCTTAATTAGAGAAACCAAGTGAGCTGAGTTAAGTACAGCTGAGGTGGTCTTGCCCGTAAAAGGAAGCAGGGTCTGAGATAGAAATCGGGCCAGTTTGTAGGTGGGTGAGTTAATGGTGGAGACGATAGGATGGAGCGGGGTACCTACTTTGTGGATTTTTGGAAGGCCATAAAATCTGGGTGGTCTAGCAGCCAAAGGTTTTATGGGAGCGCTGCTTGGTCTGATCGATTAGAGAAGTCTAATTAGTGATTTGTTCATGAAGCCATCCAGATATATAAACAGACACAACTTCAACTGAGAAGATGGGTACAAACTGAGCAATCATTGGAAGGACGTTATTAACCAGCTGAAGTCTTAACTGACTGTGATGTTTCCATCCTACCAGCCTATGTCAGCTGTTATTTCCGACTATGTGTCTCCCTCTCTCTGTGCCTCTCTCTTAGATCTTTCCCCCAGTGACTCAAGTGCTGCTGCAGAGTCCCACTTTCTACCCCCCCCTTCCCCACCCCCCTCTCCCCCCCTTCTCTCTCCCCCCTACAGCCGATCTCTTGGATTGCACTCTCATATTCACAGGTCCTTTGGATTGCACTCTCATGCTCACAAGTTCCTCACTATCCCTGGCCCCACCCTCTTGCCCGATGCGGCAACCCCCCCCTCCCTCCCCCCCTCTTGGGTCAATATAATGCCTCGTCCACAGCAGTCTGATTCTCTCACCTGAAGACGGTCGCTTGTTGTTGCGATCGAAACGTAGTGATCATTTTTTTTTTTTACCTCCGTGACTTTACCGAAAGAACCAAAGAGTATGGATTCCTGCAGTCACGAAAGCTTCAAATGAAGATTGATGATAATCCATTAAATTAATCACTAATGGCACAATTCATGAACTCATCCTTGTTCAGCTCTTGTGATGCAGGCCGTCTAACTTGTCTGCAGGGTTTCGATGAGGGAGACGTATGTACAAATGTTTTCATTAAATGCTTACTTAAGCGGTCGATGTGGGCGTAATAATCCACGTCAGGTAATGATTTGTCACAAGTGTGCTCATCATGTAAGCCACTCCTGTGCGTGAAGAGCATAATTACCTTTTGCCAGCCCGACTATGCACTTCCCACTCAACTCCGTTGTTTCTCCATTCTCTAAAGCCTTCGCTATCTACAATGACAGCAAAGAAAAATTAGCCAAATGACTACTCCTGGATTCAGGGCGCACTTTTTGCCACGGTGCTTGTGACATGGCCCAGCGGTAGCACGTTCACAGCATATGGCAGAGGTTTGTGGTTCAAAACAGGCAGACTGCCCTGATTAATACTGCAGGGTGTATTAACCAAATAATACTATGGGCCATCTGCTTCACAGTGGACGTTAAACATCCCCTAATGTGATTTGAAAAAGAGTAGGCCATTATGGAGCACTTCGATGGTACAGATAACCCACATTACTCCATTAGGCTTACAGCAACGTTACCCACTGACTCTGGACAGTGAACAGGACCCTCGTGAAAAAGAAGCGTTGTAATAATGATAATAACAATTACCTGCTGCTCCATAATGGATTTTGCTGTGTCCCTCGCCACCAACTCCTGCACCAGCTCCGTGCGCACGGCACCCGGCCACAGCGAGACGTAGGCCACGTTGTATTTGCGAAGCTCCACCGCACAGTCGGCAGCCAGGCGGTCACACTGCCACGGGGTCACAGGGGTCACAGAGACGCATTTCAGTGCATGCCAAGCACAACATGGATTTGTACCATGCATAACCGCCATTGCATGTGAAGAACGCTAAGTGTATGTGGCCAGGCCCTGTGCATCTCTTATCACTGATGAATGGTGGTCACACCAACTCCCCTGCGTAAGGAATTAGGTTGTTAACGATTGACGACTTTGTGCCGGCCACTGGCACAGGTTTCAGGAGTAAAGAACGTGATAGTGGCTGCAGTTAAATAAAAACCCTCATACGCTTACAATTCGACATGTAATGACACGCCCCCTTCTTCGCAATTTGATAAACTATTACGATTCAATGCAGGCACCAAAACTTTTTGTTTACATGGCAGTGAACTTAGGGCCTCTATTGGCTGTAGGGGTCATGTAAACTTATTACAAGCAGCAACACGCGAGTAAGAAATTATTGCACGCACGAATCCATGCGTGTGTCGTGAACGCAAGATTCGATTGTAATCAATGGACTGTGGTTAAGCAACTTTGTATTTAATGCGTGCACTTTTGCGTGTTATCGCTTAATCCAACACTCGTTTAAATACACGCTAAAGCCGTAGCTGCCAACCTTCTATTATGCCACTCGGCACCGTTAAACCCTAAAAAAATTGTAAACCACCCTGCAGTAATGAAATCGGTGTCATGTGGACAATACAATCGCATCTCAGAATCAGAATATTCATTAATACTGGAGGAATCCGATGAGCTATAAAGGTCTTCTTCACAGATGTCCAGTAGGGTCAGGTCAGAACGTTACAACAACAAACAATACAAAAACATGATAGGAGTGAAAAGTATTGGAAAGGTAAGCAAATCACGAAGAAAAATCCGCGGAGCACTTACCGGGCCACCAGGGGTGCCACAGACCACAGGGTGGGTGCCACCGCTCTAGAGCTGAACTATAAACTATTTTTATTATAAACTATTGAACCGTGGCTTGTGGGCAAATACGGCAATGACGGTACCACAAATCAGTGCAACCAACCGCACAGTGAACAGCTTGTCTGGAAGAGACGTAAAGCCTGGACTGACTTCAGCACACAGTCTCATCAGCAGTCGGGCTCACCCAAACTTATTTTCTTTTTTATGTTATCTATTTTTGTTTTTTACCAGGTAAGGCTCAATTAGCTAGAGAGCTCTTTTTTGGAAGCGACGTGGCCACAAATGATAGTTCAATGAAGTGGCTTATAATGCGGAACTTTATAGCAGCCAAATATTCTTAAACACTTATTTCTAAATGTGGAGGGAAAAACCGGAGGATTCGGAGAAATATCCAGGCAACCACAGGGAGAGAGTCACGCACAACTCCAATCATACAGCAGGCACCAGGGTCGGTATCAAACCCACAACCTCCTGCATTCTGGGTGAGGTAGTTAACATCTCGCCACAAAGCTGCCGGGGGACACTCACGGCTGCCTTGCCGACTCCGTAGGGCACACTGAGATGGTACCGAAGGCCACCAATGGACGAGATGACGACAATGAGCCCCTGTCCCAGTTCCACCATCATCTGGCTTGCGTACACCGAGCATAGGTAGTGTCCCCTGGAGCCCGCACACACGTGGGCGCGCGCACACTCATGCGAGTCATTTCACACAAGTTTCCCACTTCAAACACAAGGTTTTTATAGATTTTTTTTCGAGAACCAGCATAAACTATACAATGGAAAGCTCTCAAACACTGCACAAGGTATGTTCATATTTCTGGATTCATCTAAAAACGGATCCCCTAGCTTTATTTAATGAAAAATAACATTGCGTTATGCAGAAACGAGTTTCATTCTGATCTCAAAACGCAGGTTCAATGTATTTTAGGAGGAAATTGCAGCAGACCGGTCTACAGAGGTTATGCTTTGACACGGCTGTATGTCTCCTGCAATGATCAAAACGCAAAATTATTTGTGGTGCCGTCAGCGCCTCGGTCTGTGCAGCGTGAAATTCAAAACACCTTTTGTTATGCAACGTGCAGAGAGCCTGAACGCAAAGTTTGTACATCAAAGGGCATTTGTTTGTTTTGGAGTTAAATTCACACCACCGTTATGTTTATAACACATTTCTACACGCTGCGAAACACCGTGCAAGCTATTGTGCATTAAAGCCATTGCTGTGCATTACATTGGAAGGGTTTCTATGCTGCAAAATGGGGCATTAAAGTTATTGACGATATCCATGACTTGAAATGTATTACTGTAAAATGGAATGTTTTGTTTTAGCTGCGCCAAAGAGTTGGCGTGCTTTCCTGACTCACAATGGTTTAATTAACAAGAGTACGCACGATTCATAAACATTAGCACGCACAATTCATAAACAATGGTACAAACAATTTTTGAGATAAAGTACCGTATTTTCCCGCATATAGCCCGCATACGCATATAACCCGCAGACGCATATACCCCGCAAAAATAGCGTTTTGTGTAAAAAAAATTCAGATAGCCCGCACCTCCATATACCCCGCAGGGTCTTGTTTTGTTTGTAAAAAGTGGTATACCCCCCGGGTTATATGCGGGAAAATACGTTATTATATTTTTTTACATGAAACAAGCAATTATGAACCCTGCGGTATTAGCAGGCATATGTCATACAGCAATGTTTAATTAGGCATGGAACGCGTCCATGAGGACAGAACACCGAGATGGAGCGATGATGTCAGTAAATGTGAAGGTGCTACATACACATACAGTGAGGGAAAAAAAGTATTTGATCCCCTGCTGATTTTGTACGTTTGCCCACTGACAAAGAAATGATCAGTCTATAATTTTAATGGTAGGTTTGTTTGAACAGTGAGAGACAGAATAAAAACAAAAAAATCCAGAAAAATGCATGTCAAAAATGTTATTAATTGATTTGCATTTAAATGAGGGAAATAAGTATTTGACCCCCTCTCAATCAGAAAGATTTTTGGCTCCCAGGTGTCTTTTATACAGGTAACGAGCTGAGATTAGGAGCACGCTCTTAAAGGGAGTGCTCCTAATCTCAACTTGTTACCTGTATAAAAGGCACCTGTCCACAGAAGCAATCAATCAATCAGATTCCAAACTCTCCACCATAGTCAAGACCAAAGAGCTCTCCAAGGATGCCAGGGGCAAGATTGTAGACCTACAAAAGGCTGGAATGGGCTACAAGACCATTGCCAAGCAGCTTGGTGAGAAGGTGACAACAGTTGGTGCCATTATTCGCAAAAGGAAGAAACACAAACGAACTGTCAATCTCCCTCGGCCTGAAGCTCCATGCAAGATCTCACCTCGTGGACTTGCAATGATCATGAGAACGGTGAGGAATCAGCCCAGAACTACACGGGAGGATATTGTCAATGATCTCAAGGCAGCTGGGACCATTGTCACCAAGAAAACAATTGGTAACACACTACGCCGTAAAGGACTGAAATCCTGCAGCGCCCGCAAGGTCCCCCAGCTCAAGAAAGCACATATACATGCCCGTCTGAAGTTTGCCAATGAACATCTGAATGATTCAGAGGACATCTGGGTGAAAGTGTTGTGGTTAGATGAGACCAAAATGGAGCTCTTTGGCATCAACTCAACTCGCCGTGTTTGGAGGAGGAGGAATGCTGCCTATGACCCCAAGTATACCATCCCCACCGTCAAACATGGAGGTGGAAAAATTATGCTTTGGGGGTGTTTTTCTGCTAAGGGGACAGGACAACTTCACCGCATCAAAGGGACAATGGACGGGGCCATGTACCGTTAAATCTTGGGTGAGAACCTCCTTCCCTCAGCCAGGGCATTGAAAATGGGTCGTGGATGGGTATTCCAGTATGACAATGACCCAAAACACACGGCCAAGGCAACAAAGGAGTGGCTCAAGAAGAAGCACATTAAGCTCCTGGAGTGGCCTAGCCAGTCTCCAGACCTTAATCCCATAGAAAATCTGTGGAGGGAGCTGAAGGTTCGAGTTGCCAAACGTCAGCCTCGAAATCTTAATGACTTGGAGAAGATCTGCAAAGAGGAGTGGGACAAAATCCCTCCTGAGATGTGTGCAAACCTGGTGGCCAACTACAAGGAACGTCTGACCTCTGTGATTGCCAAAAAGGGTTTTGCCACCAAGTACTAAGTCATGTTTTGCAGAGGGGTCAAATACTTATTTCCCTCATTAAAATGCAAATCATTTATAACATTTTTGACATGCGTTTTTCTGGATTTTTTTTGTTGTTATTCTGTCTCTCACTGTTCAAATAAACCTACCATTAAAGTTAAAGACTGATCATTACTTTGTCAGTGGGCAAATGTACAAAATCAGCAGGGGATCAAATACTTTTTTCCCTCACTGTAGATCACAGGAACAAGAGAGTTGGTGGAGGCTCGGGGAGGCCTTTGACCAGCAGTGGATTGAACGTCCCAGAGTGTGCCAACTCACGCATGACCTCTGTGGGCTCTTTGTGATTACCAGACTATTCGTGAGGCCTGCTCTCGGTACCTTTGGCCACCGTGTGTTCTACAAAGAGCACTGTCCACTCATGCTGCCCCTCCCCTCTTAAAGTGCTAAACGTTCCCACAATGAAAAACATGTTCCCATACCGAGTCCTGTGTCTCCGAGTCCAAGTGTCTGTGTGTCTCTGTGTGTCCTTGTCTCGTTGTCCGTGGTGTCCCATGCTGCGTGTGTTCAACGCAGGTACTGCCCATGCACATTCTTTTATCACAGTGCATTTTAATTCTTAAAATAAAAATTGCGGTTAACTCAAGAATAATAGGATAGGTATGATCTCGGTCATTCTTCCAAATGACTCATTCTGGCATGTGGAGGTCTCACCTAGTTAAACAAAATAAACCTGAAAACTTGACCAATATAATCCCAGATTGCTCTCCCCAGACCACTGCTTTCATAACTAAAAATGATCAGCGTTGTTGAATGAGAATATAAGTGGTGTGGCATGACGTCACTACTGTGTCGAGTCAGTACACACATGACATCACTGATATGTTGGGTCTGTACACACATGACGTCACTGCCATGTTGGGTCTGTACACACATGACGCCACTGCCTGTTCAGTATGGAGGCTGTTTACGAGTGCCACAGGGTTGTGTCAGGCCGTGGCACTCTGAGTGACCCCGGCTGGACGCGTGACCGGATCCAGGTGGGGGCCAGGGGCCCTGGGGGACCCTGGGGGTCACGTGGTAGGGGAGTGGAGCCTTCTATCGTGGGTTCGAGAAGGGGGGCGTGGCCAGGGTGTGGCCAGCCACGCCAGGGGGGCTTATAAGCTGGCTCAGCACAGAGAGCTGGGCTGTTCGTGCCTGGGATGAAGACGTCTCATGAAGAATCTGAAGAAAGAAGCCTCCAGTCATCGTGGCCAAGCAGAAGCCCTCCTGGCTTGGCCACGCCAAGTAGTACCCGAGTGTTAGCGAGAGTAGGACGGTGGTCACTACCTTATGTGTAGGGTGTGTTGTAGTTGTGTTGCAGTTGTGTTAAATAAATAAGTGTTGCCTCCACACGAGTGTGTGCGCCTCTGTCAAACCATTACATAAGTAACAAGACGAATAAGCAGACAATACGCCTACTTCACGTTTGTACCTTTTTTACACATCTCATCAGCCACAAGGCCCATTTTGGAACACATAACCTCTGCAGCATTGGCTCAATACGAGCAAATCCTAAACTGGTTTCTAGGAACCATATCTAAACAGGGGGTACATGCTGGGTCCTATCTGTCGGCATCTGGAAGTTCTTCAACATTGGCGCTGCAGTGGCCGAGATTTAAACTACCTCGCCTGGTATGCAAGGAGGTTGTAGGTTCCTTCCCGACCCTGACACCTGTATATTTGGAGCTTGCATGTTCTCCCCGTGGTTTCGTGGATTTTTCTCCAGGTCCTCCAGTTTTTCCCCTCCACATTTAGAAATGTGCGTTTAGGGTATTTAGTTGCTATAAATTTCCACACGATAAACCATTTCCTTGACCTAACATTTGTGGTCAGGTCGCTTCTGAAAAAGAGCTATATAGCTCATTGAGCTTTACCTGGTAAAATCGAATTTTTGGTAAAAATACGTTTGTGTGAGCCCGATGAGACAGTGGTGCACTGAATTCAGTCCAGGCTTTCCATCTCCTCCAGTCAAGCTGTTCGCTGTGCAGTCGGCATGTTGCACTGAATTGTGGCACCGTCATGGCCACACCACCGTATTTGCCCATGAGCCATGGCCTAAACAGCAGGGAACTGTAACGCATCTCTTCTGACAATGGCAATTGGCCAGTCGGCCCCAACGACTTACAAATGTAATGCTGCTCCGAAGCAAACCAACTAAACAATTACACATGCTAGCGCTGTGTACACACACCTCTACACTACTTAAAAAACAGTTTAACGTATTGTTCGTTGCATCCATGCAAACCCAGTAGAATAGTTTATTTAGTACCACGCAACGAAACGAAATAAATGTACTCAGTTATTGTTAAAGGTTTCGGTTTTACATAGCAGGGATAATCATGCTCTAACCTATGAGTGGCGGTGCTTGTTTAATCATAACCTTCACTCGCCCCAGCTACTGCCGAGTCACGTGCATGCCTTCATTGCTTCTTAAACCGACCATTGACAACTCTCTCTCCGCTGAGGCCTTCCAAAATCCCCAGTCAGCTGACCTGATTCGAACCTAGCACCTCAGCACTGCTAGCTCTGATCTGCCCGGCTACAATAATAAGAACATTGTAATATTTAAACCACAGAGTTGGAATGGTATACACACCTCAGACCAGTGTTGTTGATGTCATCCCAGTCTGTGGCAGGCTGCTCCCAAAATGGCTTTCCAATGCCGATGAAAAGCGTCTTTGGCATTCACATTCGGGACGGGAAATGCAACAAAGACAATCTGCATATGACACTAATACTTTTGTTAGTGTTCATTTACACCGAATGAGGCTCAACAATTGAATTACATATACGAGTATGGAAAGTTGTAGGTTTGCATTTGGCTAAGAATTTGCATCACAACCCTTGGGCACTCACTTTGACGCCGGCGTATGCGTTGTTGACCAAGATGTCAAGTCGGCCCTTCTGCTCGCGCCGCACACGCTCAAACAGCGCTCGCACTTCCTCCTCCTTGGTGGAGTCGCAGGACACGGGGACGCAGTGTCCACCACGCGCTTCCACCTGCCAGAGACACGGAGAGTGGGACAAAGCCAATGGCAAATACGCGCCGTGTCATCACACACCCCACCCCCATGCCAGCCAACACACACTGTGCCGTCAAACACCCCTGAGTTTATCCTCGATTAGTTTTGTGGACTAGGAGCTATTTTCACAAACCTTTTCCACTGCAAATTTGCTTATACTCGAATAGCACCACCCACCCACTTCAATGGAGATAAGTTCCACTGCAGGTGTAGTGATGTAAATGGAGTCACTATGGCGTATAGCGCCAGCTACTGTCACAAGAGTGGAACTGTGCGTCTTGGCCCTCTCTTTGGCACCAGAGTAGGTATGGCATGGAAGCGGGCCCGAGAGAGCATGGTTCGGATGACGGTCAGAGAGAGGGCATGTGAGGAAGTGACAGTCTGGGTGACCCCGAGAAGGCAAGTGACCGGGACAGGGTAGCGAGGGGGCCCAAAGGGTGGCTTGAGGGACACGTGATGCTCGGTCGAGAACCTTCTGGTGAGATCCAGAAGGGAGCGTGGCCGAGGGCGGAGCGAGGCCACACTCGGAAGCATAAAGCAGAGGTCCCGAGATCAATCGCGGCTGCCTGTTAGAATGGAACCCGTCGGTGCTACGTTTCTTCGATCCTCGGTCTTAGGTCTGTACGCTCGGCATCGTGGGTCAGGCAGTGTGTGACTGAATGACCCGGTTATGTAGTTACCCCGTTGTGGTCTAGTTAATAGTGGTAGTTATCACCTAAATATAGAACCCGTTATTATGTTAAAGTAGTAGCCCTGTTTGGGCCGTGTAATAAACGTGTTGCTTCCAAGTTCTAGTGTGTGCCTCCGTGAAGAACACTACACAGGTAAACACATGTCGATATAAACGATGTCATCATCACTGCCTGCATGACATGCCACGATGCCAAACAAAGCAACGGTCAGCCACTCGCGACCAAGGCAGCGCCATCACCTCCTCGGCGGCTTGCCGCAGCGTCTCCTGGTTGCGCCCCGTGATGTAGACCGTGGCCCCTGCCTCCGCCAGCTGCAGGGCAATGCCTTTGCCGATGCCGCGAGACGCGCCCGTCACAATGCACACTTGTCCACTCAGGGAGCCCGCCATCACGAGCAGTACTGCGCACACACAGACGCGCACACACCCGGGGAGAAACTACGCCAATAAATCATGACCATGCCAGCGTGATATCATTGTGACTAATGGTTGCACCACAAGCCTTCTGAGATTGACCACTGTTTTTTACACTGAAACTTGGGTGGTGCAATGCACCATTAGTGCCACAAATGTAGCGGCACGGCACGGCGGTTGCTCGTTCGCTGCTCGTTGCGGAGGTTCGTGGTTCAAATCCAACAGGCCACCCTGATTATTACTGCTTTGTGCATTAAGACTATAATAGACATCTTCTGCTTTGCAGTGGACGTCAAAGAACCCGGGATATAATTTGAAGGATAGCAGGCCATTCTGTGCTGGCGTCACGGTTGAAACTGGCATTGTTTTAAAAACTGCTCGCAAATGATCTCATTGGGAAGCTTAGCAATCTGTGCACTACTGCAAAACAAAATTGCAAACAAAACGGCAGGACCCTTCGAAAAAAAAAGTATTGAGACTCAGCAAGGCTGTCAGGTGGCCGTGTGGCCTATGGGGCCGTGTGGATAAGGGGCCGCAGTGCCAAGGTGGCCATGCTGCATTGCTGAATTTGAAACCTAGGGTCACCACCACCCTGATTAACCCGGGGGGGGGGGGGGGGGGTCCCAAAGCGTTGTGAGGTACTGGTCTCAGACTAGCCAACAATGACTGCACACACATAAACAACCAGCGTATAGAATGTTTGTTCACTCAATTCGACTTCTTCTGTTCTGAGAACTAAACGTTGCTTTGCTATGATTTGCACGACACGCACGCTTCGCAGAACATATAAATCAGGGTTGTTTAAGCAATAACCAGCAAACCGGTAACCATTTTCGCAATAAATTGCCAGTTCCCAAAGTCAGTAATCGGTAACCATTTCCAATGGAATACAATCGATCTTCTATTATCGGGCACGCGATTATCCAGCTTCCAAATTTATCCGGCGGTCCTGGACCTATCCAGCAAAACCGCTCCAAAGACTGTACCAGTCCAGTGATCGTCAAACCCATCATGTTGTTGAAACAGCATAGTAGGTACAGTACATCACGCCATGCAGAGTCGTCGAGATTAAAGTGGTAAGTGCAGGATACTTATTTTTGTCTATTTGTATTATTTGTGCCAATTTCATAGAGTAAACACATTAAAAACACACAAAAAACACAACACCTAAAACATGTTATGCAATAATATGCAAACACAAGCTATTTAAAATGTGATCATCCAGCGTTTTTTAAACTCCGACACCCCTCTTCCCCCTGAAGCTGCGGATAATCGATGGTCGACTGTATTTAGTGATAAACAACAACCGCCATTCACCACTAAGTGGCAGTGACGTCACCACGACGCTTGTGCCAGGCCATGTGCACCTTGAGGCCACGTGAAGTGTCGAACGCCCGCGGGCAGGTCACGGGGCAGACCCAGGTGCCACGGGTCGACTGAGATGACTGGCTGGTGCACCACCTGTGCCCCCTACTGTGCCAACCTGCTGTGCTTTAGCCACCCGGCGCTCCGCTCGTTGTTGTGAGCGTCGCTCTTCCGCCCTCCGTTGTTGTTGGAGGGCGACTGCCTCCAACTGCCCAATAGCGTCCTTCACGAGCCTCCTCCACAGAAGCCGATCTTGACACCGCTGGTACCAATCATCGGCAAGTCCACTCAGCTCCACGTCATCCTGTACCACATCACTCCATCTCTTCTCTAGTCTGTGCCGCGCCCGTTTAGCCCCCTCGATCCGGCCGAACAAAAGCTGTTTCGGCATGCAGTGGCTGGGCATGCGGGCTATATGACCCAGCCAACGCAGCCTTGCCTGGCGGAGGAGCTCACCGATGGGACCTTGCCCAGATCTTTCAAGGATTTGTGAGCTCCTCACACAATCCAGCCTGGTTAAACCCAAGATGGATCGTAGGCAGGCCAGCCTAAATGTTTCCAACCGGCGAAGATGCTCCATTAAGGCGGTCCATGTTTCGCAAGCGTAGAGAAGGAAGGGAATGACCGTGGCCGAGAAGACCTGAAGCTTAGTGCAGAGCGACAGAACAGGTAGCTTCCACACAGCGTTACGCAACCGATGAAAAGATATTGCCGCTCGACTGATTCGGAGTGAGACCTCTGCTGTTAAACTGGAGACGGTCATAAGCACACTGCCCAGGTATGGGAAACTCTCCTGTCTCTCCACAACTACCCCATCACCGATTGGGAGTTGTGGGGGTGGAGTGTCCGATGGTACAAAATACCCAGGCAGGTGTTTAGTTTTGGTGGGGCTGATGGCAAGGCCCCATCTCTTAGTGGCACGCTCCAGTCTCAGCAGCAGCGTCTCCAACTCCTCCTCTGAATGAGCAGCTATTACCAAATCATCGGCATACTTAACATGGTTGAGCAATAGGGAGCCATCCCTTGACCGCACCCGGGTATCGATCAGCCTCCCATTATATCTGTACCAAATGGCGATTCCCCCGGTACAGCTATTGAAGGCTTCACGAACTACGTGGTCAAAATAGATGTTAAATAATGTGGGAGCCAGAGGACATCCCTGTCGCACCCCAAGGTGTACAGGGAATGGCTCTGACTCCCGGCCACGTAGTTTTACCCGGGCCCGCTCACCATCATGAAGGTCCTTAATGATCGTGAGCAGAGGGTCAGGGACTCCAAAAGCACGAAGAACAACCCAGAGGCCAGGCCTTCTGATGGTATCATATAGGCCTTGACCAGGTCAATAAAGCGGAGATGTACAGTGAGGGAAAAAAAGTATTTGATCCCCTGCTGATTTTTTACGTTTGCCCACTGACAAAGAAATGATCAGTCTATAATTTTAATGGTAGGTTTATTTGAACAGTGACAGACAGAATAAGAAAAAAATCCAGAAAAATGCATGTCAAAAATGTTATAAATTGATTCGCATTTTAATTAGGGAAATAAGTATTTGATCCCGCAATACATGACTTAGCACTTGGTGGCAAAACCCTTGCTGGCAATCACAGAGGTCAGACGTTTCTTGTAGTTGGCCACCAGGTTTGCACACATCTCAGGAGGGATTTTGTCCACTCCTCTTTGCAGATCTTCTCCAAATCATTATGGTTTCGAGGCTGACGTTTGGCAACTCGAACCTTCAGCATCCTCCACAGATTTTCTATGGGATTAAGGTCTGGAGACTGGCTAGGCCACTCCAGGACCTTAATGTGCTTCTTCTTTAACCACTCCTTTGTTGCCTCGGCCGTGTATTTTGGGTCATTGTCATGCTGGAATACCCATCCACGACCCATTTTCAATGCCCTGGCTGAGGGAAGGAGGTTCTCACCCAATATTTGACGGTACATGGCCCCGTTCATCGTCCCTTTGATGCGGTGAAGTTGTCCTGTCCCCTAAGCAGAAATATACCTCCAAAGCATAATGTTTCCACCTCCATGTTTGACGGTGGGGATGGTGTTCTTGGGGTCATAGGCAGCATTCCTCCTCCTCCAAACACGGCGAGTTGAGTTGATGCCAAAGAGCTCCATTTTGGTCTCATCTGACCACAACACTTTCACCCAGTTGTCCTCTGAATCATTCAGATGTTCATTGGCAAACTTCATACGGGCATGTATATGTGCTTTCTTGAGCAGGGGGACCTTGCGGGCACTGCAGGATTTCAGTCCTTCACGGCGTAGTGTGTTAATTGTTTTCTTGGTGGCTATGGTCCCAGGTGACTTGAGATCATTGACAAGATCCTCCTGTGTAGTTCTGGGCTGATTCCTCACCGTTGTCACGATAATTGCAACTCTTGCATGGAGCCCCAGGCCAAGGGAGATTGACAGTTCTTTTTGTGTTTCTTCCATTTGCGAATTATCGCACCAACTGTTGTCACCTTCTCACCAAGCTGCTTGGCAATGGTCTTGTAGCTCATTCCAGCCTTGTGTAGGTCTACAATCTTGTCCGGACATCCTTGGAAAACTCTTTGGTCTTGGCCATGGTGGAGAATTTGGAATCTGATTGATTGCTTCTGTGGACAGGTGTCTTTTATACAGGTAACAAGCTGAGATTAGGAGCACTCCCTTTAAGAGTGTGCTCCTAATCTCAGCTCGTTACCTGTATAAAAGACACCTGGGAGCCAAAAGTCTTTCTGATTGAGAGGGGGTCAAATACTTATTTCCCTCATTAAAATGCAAATCAATTTATAACATTTTTGACATGCGTTTTTCCGCATTTTTTTGTTGTTATTCTGTCTCTCACTGTTCAAATAAACCGACCATTAAAATTATAGACTGATCATTTCTTTGTCAGTGGGCAAACGTACAAAATCAGCAGGGGATCAAATACTTTTTTCCCTCACTGTAGGTCTTGTTGGAATTCCCTACACCTCTGCTGTAGCAGACGGACAGAAAATATGGCATCTGTGCAGGACCGCCCTTTCCTGAAACCGCATTGGGACTCAGCAAACCTCTCCTCAGCGTGCCTGGCGATGTTGAATAATCCTTGCCAGGACCTTTCCCGGCACACTGAGGAGTGAGATGACCCTGTAGTTGTTACAGTCTGTGCGGTCCCTTTTCTTAAAGAGGGGGACCATCAGGGCATCCTTCCAATCCTGTGGGACCCGACCAGTGGTCCAGACTGTTGTTATGATGTCATATAGGGCAGTCTGTGCACAAACGCCACCCTCCCTCAGCATTTCGCTTGGGAGATCATCTCTGCCCGCTGCCTTTCCTGGTCTCAGACTCTGGATCGCCTTCAGTACTTCCTCAACAGATGGTACTTCAGCCAGCCGCTCACAGGGGGTGACTTCTCCCAATATTTGAGGCACCGCAGCCTCAGCAGGGTCATCCTCACTTTGTGCCACGATGTTTTCCTGGCTGAGTGATTTTCCCTCCCCCAGGACCTCACAGAAATGCTCAGCAAATCTGCAAACCTGTTCCTGGGGTCGGAGATTGGATCACCGTTTTTTCCTCTAATGATGGTAAAAGGTGTGGCCTGCAGGTTACTTTTTGATGGAGTTAAATAGAGATTGGTGATCGCGGGCAAC